GAACACCTTGTCACGCACTGGGCCCATTGCCCAGCTTGGAACCAGGGTTTTTAACTTTTATGAACTTTTTAAGCCCAACAACACTTGGCAGAGCCATTACCAAAGAGCAACCCTAAACCCAAAGTTAGGCCCAGGGTGGGCCTTACAGGCACTGTCCCAGCCAAACTACTACCCAACCACAAAACAGACCATTAGGGTCTACTCCTCTCACATGTACTCCTACTCTCACATGTACTCCTACCTCTGTATCTAACTGCATTCAGCTTTCAGGTTCATAGCCTAGATTCTGTTTTTTTCCCTTCCCCTTTGTCCGTTCTCTGAAACCAGCTGCCCTGATGAAAAACGTTTTCTGCTCTTTTCTTCTTGGTCGAGCACCAGAAAATAAACCGCAGCGGAACCCATGCTCGGTAAAAATTGCCGCGCAGTGAAATTCAGGGTCAGTGAAATTCAGGGGTTCAGTGAAATTCAGGGTCAGTGAAATTCAGGGTCAGTGAAATTCAGGGTCAGGGTCAGTGAAATTCAGGGTCAGAGTCAGTGAAATTCAGGGTCAGGGTCAGTGAAATTCAGGGACAGGGTCAGGGTCGGTCAAAAGAGGATCTGAGGTAGTGCTTTTTTTTTTTAAATCTTTTTTTTTAAACCCACCACTACCTCTGTCACTCTTGGGAAAAATGAGAAAAATCATTCAAAAATGGGAAAAAGGGCTGTTTTACCATTTTTTTTGATTTTTTTTTAACGGTTGGACGAGGCTCTGCGGTTGGGCCTTGAGGGCCCTCTGTCACTCTTAGGAAAAATGGGAAAAAGGGCTGTTTTGCCATTTTTTCCAATTTCTTTCAACGGTTGGACGAGGCTCAGCAGTTGGGCCTTGAGGGCCCCTTAAAAAAAAAAAAAAAAAAAAAAAAAAGAAGAAGATCATGTCGGGGAAGGAAGGGCCCGTGCACCAAGTTGTGCTCACACCAAAACTCACACGTTCGTATCTAACAGCTATAGTGGCCAGTTTCAGGTTTTCATTGTTTAGGGTTTTTTATTTCCAGTTTCAGGTTTTCACATTGTTTAGGGTTTTTTATTTCCAGTTTCTGGTTTTCATTGTTTAGGGTTTCTTGTTTTAGTTCTTTATTTTGTGTGTGTTTTGGTGCGCCCCGCCAGAGAGGCATGGCGCCGGCAGTCCTCGGGCTGCTGACACTTTGTGCAGGAGGGCATGCATGCCCACACTATTACTTTGCAGAAAATGTATGAACCCGCTCCCGCTTTCCCCCCCAAGTTCAGTTTTTCTTTTTCTTTTTTCCGTCTTCCTTCTTCTTTCGTGGCCCTGACGCCCTTGCCTTAAAGCCCTCCTCACTGAGGGCATACTCACATAAGGACTTTGGGACACCCTTGCGTCTGGCCGTGCTTTTTTTTTTTTTTTTTTTTTTTTCAGGGAAGTACCAGAAAAGAATCAAAACGGAACCCAGACTCGACTCGGCAAAAC